CAGGCCCTGCCCACCGGGGGAGGGGCAGCCGCACTCCCGCCCCGCCGACGGACCGGGCGGGCCGCGCCTCCCGGAGAAAGGAAGCCGGGAGCGCGAGCGGGAGGGGGCGGGGGCGCTTAAAGGGACAGCGGCAGCGTCCTGGCTGGAGCGGGCGGTCTCACCTGCGGCCCTGGCACGCGCTCGGGCGTTCCCGTGGCCCGGAGGCAGTGTGAGTCAGCCCTATCTCCTTCACGTTTAGATGGGGGTGGCCCGGAGGTCGGGCCCTAGGACAGTGGCTCCTGGGAACCAGGGACAAGGGTAAGGAGCTGGAGGCCCAGGCTCTCCCTCCTGTCAAGGGTCTGTGGTTTGGGGTATCCGCCTATCTCTGGTTGGGGTGAGGTGTGCGTCCCGGTCTCCCCTGTGTCCACATCTGTGGGTCCAGGTGTGCGTGTGGTCACATTCTTGCTGACTATGCACGCCGCCAGCAATATGGACGCCCAGGTGCCAAAGAGGTCATGCAGTGTACGCCCTACCTCCCGGCTAAGAATGTATCTATCCTTCCTCAATGCTTGCCTCTAGAGGAAAGAATCTGGGCAGTTTTAAAAGATCTCCCGAGGAATGACCACTGTGCCTGTGTGCAGTAATATCCACTTGTCATCTGTCTTGTATACATCCACAGTGTTTCTGGGCCACCAGAGAGGTGTGTGTGTCCAGGGCGTGCGCATATAATACACACAGATTTATTTTTGTGTCAGCCTTACTTCCTGGACTTCACACGGAGACTTGGGGGGCTGGGGGGTGGAGACAGGGAGCAGAGGCGAGGCTGCACGTGGGTGCACCCGTGCACTGAGCATGCTCCCCCAAACACATGTGCCTCGCGTGCACCCAGCCCCCATCCCTGCAGCAGCAAAAGGCTGTAGCACTCTGCTTGTGGGGAGGGGCAGGGATGCCCCAACCAGGCCTGGGGTCAGGTCAGTGGTGACACAATTAAGGGAGAGTTCCCAAGCGGCAGGGAATCCTGCTCAGTAACTGGGGGTGAGGGGTGGGGAGAGTCCTGGGCAGGGATGCCCGAGTTGGTCGATTTTATCCCAGCGGTGCCAGAGCAGCAGTGACTTGTGGGTGGACCCGCTGCTTCCCTGGGGGAGACAAAGTAATGCTCATGAGTCACATCACCCGAAATACATGCAAAGCTGCCTCCATCGCCTTTTGCTGCAGCCCGGATTGACAAGTTTGTTTGAAATAGCGATCCACGGGATATTTTTATAATTACACCTTTTAAAAAAATCCTTGCAGGCCTCCTTTTTCCCCCACAGCCAGCCGCTGGCTGGCAGATTTTCTGTAAGCAAGGATACCTCGAGGGTTGGTGGTAGTGGGTGGAACACCACCTGCCGTCGGGTGCTGCACCCGCAAGGGGAAGTCAGTTCATTGGCTTGGTGACCCCAACCCAGGTAACGGCAGCCTAGCTGCCCAAACCGGGCGTACAGCCTACCAGCAGCGACCACCGGTTCAACCGATCGACCCCCAGCTATGGAATTTCACTTATTAAGTGTCGAGGCGGCTGCTGGCAGCCCCGTCGCTTGGTTGTCTTTGTTTCTCTGCTGTGTGGGCGCGTCTGGAGCACGTGGCAGCTGGAGCGCGCAGGCCGGAGTTGAAAAGCGACCTGAGTTTTGTCTATGTATGGGCGGCCTGGCAAAAAGAGAGCCGGCTTCCCAGGGGACACCCCCCACCCCCACCCAATCCAGGCTGAGCTCCCCCTTCCTTGAGCTCCAAGATTTTTTCCCGGGAAAACGTATGATTCATCCTGTTCCCCCCGCCCCATCTCCTGGTTGGCCCAGGACTACCTGAGAGTGGCCCAGGCACGGATCCACTCTCCAAACTTCGTTCCGGAAGCCCCCAGCCCCGCCACAGCCTGGGCCTGGGGCTAGGGATAAAAAGGTTTCAGAATTTCTTTTTTGAGATGTCATCTCAGGAAGCAGAACAGTTAAAGAGAAATCACACACAAGGCTCCAAAAACAATTTAATAAGGAAATGGCATTCTCCCGACCGTTCCTAGCGGTCCCTCCCCCCACTCCAGCCCCCTCCTCAACTCGGGCTGCAGCCACGACACTCTGCTGACCCCTCGTGGTAGAGGTAGGCAATGGTCCCGGCCGCCGGAGACGCCGGCTGGCTCCTCCCAGGCTGGAGAAAGGGGCGAGGCCATCCGCTCATCCCTCATCCTTCCCGCCCTCCCGGGCCTGGCACCGCAGGGTGTGGAGGAGGAAGGAGAGAAGACCACACAAAGAAACCTGAGAGAGGCGCGGAGAGTTTGCAAGCTTTTGCTGGCACCTCCCACACAGACATTTCTTGGGCTGGTGAGGAATTCCTTATTCCTGCCTGGTTCTAAGGTGGGCTCACCAAGGCATTATGCCCGGTGGGCTGTTACTCTCCTTAGCTCACCCCAGGAGGTAGTTTCCAGTCTCATTCTTGAGGTGAGTGGTCTGAGAAACCAGAATGTTTAAGCAAATTGCTCAAGGTCGAGCAATTAGTAAGGAGGAATTATAACTCAGGTCTCTCTAACATCCCAGTCCTTCCCACCCTTGCAGTAGGTGGCCACAGAGGCCAAATCCACTTTCACCACAGCATCTGCAAGGACCCTTCTGGCAGGATCTCTCTGCCCTGGGGTTATTTAGGAAGGAGACAGTCTCTGGAATCAGTCACTTCCTCTCCGGAGGGTGCCACGAGGGGGTGGAGGTGGGGAGCTGCTTGCTGCTTTCTCTGCCCAGCCCCACTCTGGTCCTTGCGGAGGACAGTGTATGGGGAAGGCGGACTGTCCTCGCAGTCTTCCTGGACATTCTCTTTCCAGTGTCAAGTGTGGCGGATGGAGTTTCATTTTATAAAAGGGCAGGGAAGACTCCTACGTAATAATTCAGGTGCCAGCCCCCTGGTTGCTCCAATGACCCTTGGTACTAATGCCTCTCACCCTTCTCAGGAAGCCCCATCAGTCACTCTTCTGGGAATCTGGATCCCTTGTCACATTCTACAGGGACCTAAACTCAATCCTGAAGGCCACACCTTCCCGCGCCTCCGAAAGCTGGAGCGAGGCGGCCTGTAGCTCCCTCCCTCCCCCAGCAAAAGGCAAAATGCCGGTGGGTGGGGTTGCGCCCCAGCCCACCTGGCGTCGGGTCGCTGCCTCCGTTTCGGCCAGGCCTGGCTCCTTCCCCACGCTTTCCTGGGACGAGGGGGCCGGTGTGGGACGCTCCCCGGCCGCTCGCCACCCCCAGTTCCACGAGGTGGACTACAAACCCCATAATGCTGCGGGGCCGAGCTAGAACTCGCTCCGCCTGGAGCACCCAGGTCCCCCTCCTCTCTCCCCTGCATCCCCGCATCCCTCGGCGGCCGCTCGGACTGAGGGCCGGGCTATGCGGCTGCGGGAAGCCGGGGGCTGCGGGCGCGCGTCCCTGCGGC